CTAGGAAGTACAATCTTGTTGAATTTTAGACAAACATTCTGCAACGCATGGGAAAATAAGCTGAGGTCGTGTATACAAATATGCCAAATATGAGCACATATATATATATATATATATAGTAACCCCCCCCCATCACTCGACCGACAATTTTGTCACTGGGATGTGGAGGGGGACATACATTTGCATTCGAATGAATATTATCAGTCGTGCACACATGCTTTGGCCATGTCACATGAATCCAAGACCAGCAAGATTGATGTCCCTTAATGCTATGCAATCTCTTGCTTTTTAGTGTGATTTACTGTCGTTAAAGCAACTATATTCATGTATTGCTTGTATTGTCTTTGTCATACCTGAATTTTGGGCCATCTGTAATGATTGATTTTACCTCTTTGTTCACTCTTTTGTGTATTTCAGCTTTTTCACTTTAAAGTAGATAATCTATAACTTATAATACGGTATATCGTATTCACTAATAGTTCTTGAAGTGAAAACTCAATGAAATATATATAGATATTAAAACACACTTTACTTCGAGTGATCCCCGCCATGACATTTCAATCTGACACGATTTATGGCATGTATTGAAACATTCTTCCGGCATTCTTTCTGGCATATCTTCTGACATTCTAGCATATTTTCTGACATTGCTTCCGGCATAGCTTCTGACATTCTTTCTGGCATATCTTCTGACATTCCTTCTGACATTCTTTCTGGCAAATCTTGTGACATTCTTTCTGGCGTAACTTTTGACATTCTCTCTGGCACATCTTCTGACACTACTGGCATCTCCTCTGACATTCATTCTGGCACTCTACCTGGCATATCTTCTGACATTCCTTTTTTGCATATCTTCTGAAACTCTTTCTGGCATATCTTTTGACATTCTTTCTGGCATACCTTATCTTCTGCATATCTTCTGACATTCTTTCTGGCGCTCTATCCGGCGGCTGGTAGTTTGAGTTCTCAGGGGAAACAGTCAGAAGGCTGGGTGAACAGATTGAGACAGCTGAGGGGTGGTGGTGAGAATGATTTAGATGAGATCGCATCCAAAAAGACGCAGACACCAGCACCAGCTGGAGTGATTTCATGCAGATGGCATGCCAAAGGGGTCAGAAGATCAGTTCACCATGGATCAGCTTCACTTTAGTAGGAAGATATTGGATGCCAACTGAAAGAGAAAGTAAGCAAGTAACCTTATATATTGATTTGCTGCGTAATTTATCAAAAAACAATATTTTTAATTTTCTGGTGGCAGATGAGCTTCATTAATAGGGGGCTCTACAAAGAAGAAAAATTTAAAAGGGGGTGGAATTTAGGTTCTAAAGTAGTTGAGCACTAAGGGCTCGAAATGGGTTTGATTAGTTGGGTGAGGTGACTTTTCCTATGCTAACACTATACAAAGAGAACCAAGAAGTCTCATGAAGAGCAACCGCTGACCTGATTTCAATCCATTCTCCAGGTGTTTCTTCGAGTCCACAATGCACAATGGCGATTTGACTACAATGTTTGTCCGTCACAGAGGAAATTTTTGGTTTTGGGGGTTATAGCATATTGTGTGTATTATTCTGTAGGTTCGTTCATTTGTTTTGTGGTTTTTGCTATGGGAGGTTGCTCATGAAGACCTTGGGGTAGCTAGAATTTTGGTAGGGGCTTGAGTTCATTTGGTTGAAACAGTTGATTTGTGCGGAAATTTCTGCGATTGACAGCATTTTTCCGCCTTACAAAGGCAGGGTCCCGTGCTCTCAGCCACCTTGGTTGGCAACTTAGATTCTTGCGCCCAAGAGTTAGCTAGTTAGTGATGCTGAACATCGTTTTCTGAACACCTTTGAACACCGAGCAGAGCAACAGGTTCTGACGTTGCATTTGATGCTTGAAAGTTAGCATGGACCTGGGGTGCCTTGAAAGTACACCATGACGACGGGCAACATGTTGCGTTGATGTTGGTTTGTATAAATGATTTGACTCACACGAAAATGTCAATAGCTGAGGTCAGCTGTGTGGACTGAAGCAATGGAGGCGAAAGGCCTATTTAAGAACTTTTGAGAGCACACAGAATTCAGCTCTCTTTGGTCCCAAGCGTCCATCGTTAAGATTGCAGACCCAGCCCAGTTCAAGTTAAGATTGGTGCTTGGACCTTGCATGTTTTCGCTCAAGGCGACATAACTTGGGAATACGAAAGATGCAAAAAAATGCGTGACACTTGTGTCCTTGTGGTTCGGGTGGTACAGGCCAACCATCGGAAAGTGGTTTGTTCATTCTATGCCCAGCGGCACAGATTCACACTTCCTTCAAACAAAGCCTAGTACTCCTACATGTCCTTGTCAACAAGCAGCTGTAAAGTCAAATGATACATTGTTTTTTCACACAAGATGCTGATAGTTTATGGTCATCGTGGTCCTATTGGAGGAGGCTTGATCTCAGAACACGAACCTTATGAGTGAGGCAGAGGATGGGCTGTTACTTCAAGCAAAGCTTGATAGCTGCTCCAGCAAAGGCTCAAGGTCGGCATCCTCATAAGTCCTGAGCCATGTTGCATGCCCCTTCTACCTTTTGCAATTGTGGAAGTCTCAATGGCAAAGGACACCTTCAAGTTGCTTTCGGTTCTCAAAGCCGCAGGCGTTGGCAGGCAGTCCATGTTCAAGTCATCTTCGGTCCTTGGTATCGTACTGATTAATCATAATGATCATTCATAATGTTGTCCGATGGGCTGCCAAGTTCAAATAGTTGGTCTTCATCCATGTTCGTCCAAGAGTTTTGAAAGAAGGTGTCCCTATCCCACAGATTGTCATCCTTTTCCCACAGGACAGAACGGGGAGTTGTTCGACCCACTTGATGAGAGTGCTGTCCTGGTGGATCAGAATATAGAAGGCCCCGCCAAGCGGAAAGAAAAGCAGTGTCTCGGTCTCGGAGGTAGCAAGGGTGCTGAGAAGCAGCAACCCCCGGAAGACCATTGGCAAACCATTGAGCAAAGATTCGACTAGCTGGCAAACCATACGCACAAAATACTAGGACATTGGCTACGTATGCTGAGATGAGGCAAAACAAGATAGGGTATCCGAGCTGTTGAGCTGCTGAGGTATCCGAGCCTTTGTGGTCCTCACTTGCTGCTTCTTTGTTGCCTTCTTGTGGCTCTTTGTGGTCTAGCCGGCGTGACTACCTACTTTGTGCGACTTGCTTGGCCTGTTTCAATTTTCTTCGATAGAAGACCTTGTGCATGCACAAGATTGCATGCGAGTGTCACTGTTGATGAAAAAATATGGTTATATAATAGGCCAAAATGTTCTCTGAAAGATACCTCATCTCAATGGCTTGGAGAATGCTAGGTCCATTACTGCAATTGAAAGGATTCCTGTTGGGTTTGAAATCGATGCTGTGTCGTGGCATGCCTTTGATTCCAGACTTTGCTGCATGATTGTTTGGGGTCCCCAACCCTCATCAATAATTCGTCGGAGACTTGTTGCATTTTTCATGACTTAGGACACACAAAGGAGCGGATGTACCTGTGGAGGGAAAAGCAACAATTCCTCCTTGCACCTTGACTGCCTAGAGTGACAGCAGCATTCAGCAATTCAGTTGTTGGTCCTTATATAGGGGCACAGCGCTTTCATGAGCGATCTCACCATGCAGCTGATCAACACCGTGTTTAAGAGTTGGCTTTGCGGGCTGTTCTTGCCTCCAGCCGTTGACAGCTCAAGTTGGCGGGCTGGGACTGATGGCGAATGTCGATGGATTCAGTCGGATACAGAGCGAACAGGCAAAACAGCAAGTGGACGCTGCACTAGTGACTGCCGTCAATGATGCCATTGTCGCCCAGGCTTTTAAATCTGCGGTGCAGGAGAGAGAGAAAGAGAGAGAGAGAGAGAAAGAGGGAGAAAGAAAGAGACCAAACTCGAAGATGGGGAGATTGGGTCACCCCCTTCCAACCCGGATCGGGAGCGCTGATAAGCCGTAATTAGGATGGCCCAGGATGGGCACTGGACTTAATTAGTGTTCTGCTCGAAATCAAGACAGATCAAGAACACTTGGGTGGTGTTCCTCAATCATTTGCATTTTAAGTTTTAAGCCTTTCCATGTCTTTTCATGGCACGCAGGAGTGCAAATTCTGCGTGACCGTGGCCAACCCTCATGGAGAGGACTTTCCACTGATCGCAGTGTCCGAGGAATTTGAGACAATGACAGGCTACACCAGGAATGAGATCTTAGGCGTCAACTGTCGCTTCCTCAACCAGGGTGTGGATATGAATCCACAGGAGACAACGCTGAGACTTCTGAAGCGTTCTAGGGTTGTTCAAAGGGCTTTGCACGCGGCTAGGTTTGTATCTCCATGCATTTGACTATGCTTTTTTGCAGGACCTCATTCACCTGCGCGAAGCGAGTGCAACAGGGGCGCCTTTCACAGCCATTTTACCCAACAGAAAGAGATCTGGCGAACTCTTCCTGAATTTGCTTGATGTCCGCGGCCTGACAGTGGCACGAGCTTATGCCTGAAAGGACAAAAAAACGTTGAGTGTTTGCTTGACCAAAAAAATACTCTACAGTAGAAGTATGTTTAGAAGAATAGACAGACGCAGCTGAACTTTCTACCAAATCATTCAGAAGCTAAGCTAAGGAAACCCGAAGACTGGTGAAGATCTTTGGTATCTTATCGGTATCCAGGCTGACGTTTCAGAACTGGGAGAGGAGCAGATGCCAGATGAACACTTTGCAGAGCTGCAAATGATGTCACACTTCATCAGGGAGAAAATCATCAAGGACCACCAGCCAAGATGATTGTATACAGGTTCAACCATAATGTGTAGCAAACCGAAAATCACCGATCTCACCAACCTCCCCAACCGGTGCCTTTCCCTTCTTTTCCTTTGGCCAATTTCTTGGACCCAGCCAGCTTCAGGAGTTGTCAGAGTACGCGCTGAGTACAGAGACCTGCGAAGCAGAGCCTGGCACTTTTGAGTTGCTGCCGACGCCAGAGTGGAGACCTGGCGGGAGACTCGGGAGCCGACAGTTCAGCGCAGCAAATTGTTCCAGAGTGACTACAAAGTCTAATTTGGAGACCCAGTCCAGTGTGAGAGTGCACTGGGGAAGCGTGCAGAAAGCTGCACTTTTCAGTGCAATCGGAGTGAGCCTTGTTTTTTTAGTTTTCTACCGGCGTGCACTGAGACCGAAATGAGACCTTGCAAGATGCGTGGAAAAGCAGCTCCAGTGAATGTTGTGTGTGTATGTGCGACAGGCGACAGGGTGGGAGAAGTGTTCATAGCCAAGTGATGCCAAGTGATAAGAAGCACATCACTTTGAGGTCGAATCACCTAGAGCCAATGAAATGCACTGAGCATTTCTGAGGCCCTGCTGGGACGAACAATTGCCCTGATGCGTGGCTCAGCGGGCCAACAGGAGCTGTTCGATGTCGGCTGATCTCAGATCTCAGGCTTGTGCCCAAGCAAACACAGCATGAATTCACAGGAGGATACCATTGCCTGCACAAACTGGCCGCCCAGACGTCTCAAAAAGCCTACGATTTGTCTCGGGGTGCATGCCGACCCAAGGCAGTGTCTTGGCATGTCTTGGCAATGCCTTGGTACGAAGGGAGACTTTAAGGTTTCAACAGGTTGGACTGGTGCGCTGGAAAGCGCCAACAGACGCAGACAATTTGTTTTGCCAGTGCATGGACTAGATACCAAAGCAGTAGTTGTTGCGTGTATTTGTTGAGACTTGTGTTAGCTGTGAAAGCACTTGAAGTCCCAGACAAAGCCCAATGCTACGAAGGATGGCGAGTTCCCCTATGAGGACTGCCCAAATCAGTGCAGCATCGGCAATGTTTGAGGGTCGGAGCGAGGGCTCTTTAAATGGGCAGCAACAGCTCCTTGCAAGCCATGCCCGCAACTGCTGAGAGATGTTTTGAAGCAATCAAATGACTTGTGACGCTACCCATGTTCTCGCCCTGAAGCCAAGATTTACCACAATGCACCCAAACTACAGACCCAAGGGGCGGAGGCCAAGCTTTTGTAATTCTGTAGCGGTTCGGCATCTGGGCAGAATTCGCCAAAGGCGAAGAGTTCCGATGGACATCACCTTTGCCAAATGGTACTGGTATGTACTGATACTGTCACGGAGAGCAAGCGCTTGGATGGTGTAGTTATAATTGTATATAATTGTACTTTTCTTTGTTGTACCGTGGGTCATTCGAAGGACGATGCGCTCAAAGAGTCTTTCCATGGCATGGTTCTTTGACTTCTGCCTTCGCAACGTGTTGATGCAAAAAGCTTTCCAACTCATTGCGAAGCAAAGTTGCCTTTCCGCCTTCCACAAGGTTGCAGTGTCACATCTAGCTCGAACACGGCACAGAAAAAGAAGATTGCTGATTGTTTTTCTCCAGATGTTCGATGCAGGTTTCCTTGGCGTTTTCAGCCAGGCCGAACTCTTTGCTCCGAACGAAGCTTCTTGCCAAATAGAAAGGTGTCTACTGTAACGCTTCTAATGCTTTCAAGAGTCCACAGATCAACATAGAATGCAACATATATGTCTATGACACCGAGGATTCGTTCAATGACACCTAAATGATGCAATCGACATCAATCAACCAGCTTTGGGACAGGAGAGGAATAATGGGATCTATTCAGACCACAGACCACCACAGACCACCACAGACCGCAATCCCGGATTGCAACTTGCAACAACCTGCAACCATGGTTGCTGTGTAAGACAGCTTTTTCGCACGATGCAGCGCACACTTGTACTTGGTTCGTTCCTGCAGGCACGTTGGATTTGGCTTTGCAACGAATTTGAGCTGTTTGTCTTATGTGTAGCACGTTTGCTTGACCTGCATCACACGTTTGGGCTCAAAACCTCCAGCTTCGGTCGGGTTGAAACCCGTTTTCAACTCAGCTCAGCAAAGCAATTGTCTTGGCTCACTGCTTCCTGTGAACCATATGGCTGCATAGAGTTTCAAGTTTCGAGCTTGTGCACTTTCTTGCTTCGTCCTAATAGAATGTTTGTTGGTTTCTTTGGCTTGCTAGTTGTTTGGATATTTCCTGTTTCTTTCCCTGGGCTTGAAAATCAATAAGTCGTGCTCGTTGTATTTATATTTGCTCTCGCGCCCTGCGCTACTGGGAGACCACAACAGGTGCAAGATTCAACTGCCAATTTGATATGATACCTCCTTTGTTAGCAAGATGCACCAACCACACTTAGGTCATGTGCAATGCAACAAGATCTGGCAGAAAGGCCAAGACGCTGCCCGCAAGCATCCTGAAGGCCAGTGAGTGTTGGAACTTGCAGTCTGATGCAGAAAGGCACATAGGCAA